TGCTCCAAGATTGGGTTGGCCTAATCCCCAAACTCACCCTGACCGGGGAATTTGTTGAGGAAGTAGACCAGTGTTGCTATCTGGGCAGCTATATCTAACCAGGCGGATGCATCACAAATGAAGTGTTGGAGTGCATACAAAAGGCTCGGTTGGCATTTGCCAACTTAAGACATCTGTGCCGCCGTCGCTACATCTGACCGTCTGTGAAGGATTGAGTATATGCTGCAGCAATTTGGCCAGTGCTGCTTTACGGTACAGAGACTTGGCCATTACCGGAACAGGATTGTCGGTATTCGGACACCGCTGCCTACGTAATATTGCACGAGTCTGGTGGGGAAACCGGACGAGCAATGCCGAGGTTAGGCGTAAAGTTTTAGGCAGTCGCGGTGGTCCACTGGAGCAAGTGATCAACCTCCATAGATTACGTTGGTTGGGGCATACGGTACGCATGTCACCAGATAGATTGCCACGGCGAGACAGGTAGCGGTTGGAAAAAGGTCAAAGGTGGTCAAGCTACGACCTGGCATGAGGGTAGGAAAGCCCTAACCAGGAGATCAGGTCACATAGGCCCCGTTAGGCTCCCTGGTTGGGGGCCCCGAGATGATGTTCACCGATAGTTAGAGACTGAGTGATATGGCTGGATGTCACAAACAGTGGCGCTCATGCATCTACTCATTATTTTTTTAACTTCAGTCTATGTCAATACGCTATCTTCCGTTTGAATCTGCTGTAAACGTTCTTATCTTCATTCTCCTTTTTTATCCAAATGGGCGCACGAAAGAGCATGGTTAATGGTTGTAAGAACTGAACTGAACAGAACCTTTCAGCACCACAATAGCAGAACTGCGGTTATACCGAATGAGTTCAGCGAGTTTGGCGTAAGATTCGTCTTTTTGTGAAGTGGGACTAGTTGGTTGATGCATATGCGGAGATGATGAACAAAAACATTTTGGTGTTGCTGTCCTTCCGAACACTGAACCCTGGAGCCTCATTGCGCATAAACGACTATTGACGGGTATCTAATCTATCAGTGAGGCTTCAACTGTATCGTTTAGCACGATCCCTACGCCACGTTGACCCAGTGAGCCGGTTTCATCGTCTCCTGATGTACGAAGAAAATACCTCGGGGATAGACGCGGCGCAATCATGTGGCTTATGATACTGGGATCCTGAATTCGGGTCTCTAATACGCAACAGACATCAATTTATAAAGAATTGCACGCGCAGGACACTTGTTGATTCAGAGGTGGACGAGTCATCAAAATCTACACTTTATTTACAGGCAAACTACTTACAGTACTATTTGGCAACGACCTTTGGCGAGTGACGAGCAAGTTGCCTGAGGAAATGTTACGGGTCGGAAGAAGGGACAAGGGGACACGGTTGGGTAAAAACCGACGATAAGAAAGAAACGGAGGGTAATTGACTAAATCGCGGTTAATTAATCGCTGTTTATCCTACGACACGAATGGATGGAGGAGCAGAAAAGGCAGCACAGTACTCAGTATTTAACACATTGGAACTGCAAAGCATCAATCACCATGTTCCCAGCCGCGGAGACGAGAAGCGACGTCCAGAATTCGAGGTGCGGCAAGTCGTACCAATTATGTATTACATTTGGAGCTACGAACGGAATGTCCTGCTTCAATATATAATAGACGACACCGACCAAAAAGAACTTACATGATATACCGTCGCATAATTGGACGCCAGTAGGCGGACGCAAGCCGCAAGAATACCCCGCTATCTCCAGAACTTCACTGAGGCCTCAAAAAGCATGGTATGACAACGTAAAAGAATGCAACCAGCGCTAACAAAATCCTTCTTGAATCTGACATTCCAAAAGGAGCTACCTCCTCTGAAGGATGTCGCTGCGAAAGTGGTGGGAACGCTGGTGTACTATACCCATTACCAACCTCGTTTTCCCGACAAAATCCACGCTCGAAGAGCTGAAGGAACTAGAAGGGGCTACTATTTTTACCATTGATTACAACCACCTATTAAATATCGAAAGTATCCGGCATCACGATGGCGGCAAAACTCAATCAGGATGAAATTCCGGTGGCTTTCCCGTGTACCTCAATCCCGAGTGTGCGCCGCCATGTAGCGATCGAAAAAGAAGCGGGCCCGAACGTAGAAGCTCGATGAGAGATGGAACAACTCTCGCCCGAGGACCAGTGCTTCATTGCTTTCATATAGACCCTGCCGCGCAAGGGTAAGTAAAAAACGATATAATCCGAAGGAAATTAAAACTGCCGTGCTTTCAGAACGACCAGTGGGGGGTGAGTGAACTTGCTGACACATTCCGCCGAAAATTTAGTCCCGCTGTTACACACTGACTTACAGTAGTTGCCTGACCCTATAATATCCCGTTATCACACGCATGTCGCATTTCATTTGGTCGACAAACCTATCCTTATTGAACAACGATGTCAAAGCGGTCGTAATTAAAGGTGAAGCATGAGCACCACCTAGACCCAACGTTTTCAAAAACGGAATTCGCAACATGGCAAAAGCGACCAGGCCGGTCGAGACTCTGCGTTCACTTCAAAGTCTACCCTTGTCTACTTCTCATGAGGTATATACTGACTTTAATCGATGAACACGATCATTCTCATCTGACTATCGCCTGCACTCACACGTCTTCAACTATGATTCACTGTTCCAGTCAATTTCTGAATTTGAGATGCAGTCTTATGTTCACACTGATGGTGACATGGCAGATGAACTACAAAGACTCCGTTATAACCAGTTTGACGACCTTATAGGATTCTCGCGACAGAGCGAAATGGAACGGAGCGTTCAGGAAGACCATTACGCTGGCATTGAAACCACAAATGGGAATGCATGCATTCGGTCCATTTGCCACTGTGCACTCCTACCGACAGAACGCCTAATAAGATTTCTGACACTCAATCAGAAGTCTACCGATGGCAACACTCTATCGTTACCGATTACCTATCCAGTCCTTTTGAAGAGATGGTTTAAGGAGTGAGCAAAATCCGCGAAATAACTTACGGTGTGCGCGAATCTGGATCACCACCATGTGGTCTCCCGATAGCACCTTATCACCGCATTTTATGAACAGAGGAAGAGGCAAAACCCCTTCATCATAGATTACTAGACAGAACGGCCGGCTATGTAGTGAAGCTTATAGTGCCAATAAGATGTGACAGCGAAATGGGTAGCGATGAAGATACCTACCACCTAAATGAACAGGTCCTGGGAGCGCACCTTTGAGGATAGTGGGATACTGTCGACTTTTATTCCAAAGTTTCACGAAGCTGGCCCGCCTGCAAGCATGAGATGATCACCTGAAATTTACCAGCACAATACTAAATCGGCAGACCTGATAATTACAGCTCGCTTAGTTGGCACCTACTATTCAGGAACTGACGGTGAACTAGCCTGACAAAGAGCCAATACACGACGCAAAAAATGCAATTTGTCGAACGCGTTTCCCGCAATAGTACGAGACACCTGAATACCGAGAGGAATGAGTGCTATGCGGATCTCGGAATAACTTAGCGATCCTTACCTTGGCGACTAAAAATGCTACTTTATAGAGTTCGCAAAGTGAGATGTCTAAGGACACGTGCGTCATATGAATGAACGAAAGTTCCGTAATTGGCTGTTAGGTTTTGCAAAATGATCAGACAAATGAAGGCGTGAAGACCGGTTGCTCAACCTGGAGGTTTCAACACCACTTTGTGTACAGAGTGGAGTACTAGGGGCCTAACCCAGAAGATTGATCAGTAAGTACGGTTCGCACCGACACTACCAAATGGCGTCCTCAATCCGTAGCCGTAAAACGATTGTAGAACGCCGTCAGAAGCTCAGGCAGTAGCCACTGGGGAAAAGTGACACGTTGAACGCTGTAAGGGGCAAGCGAGATGTACGACAAACGGTCGTTCAGAATATGGTCGGTGGGTCCGGCTTCGGTTGTGAACTCCACAAGAAAAAGCACTTGGTTTGATTTGGTTGATCTTGCAGTATTCCAGTGAATAAACTCCTTTGGGTTATAAAGTGTTGCAATGCCATTTTCCGGTGCCGGACTCGAAGGTGTGCACTACGATAAATGTGCATTTAAAAATTAAGATCACCCGATAGGGAGCACCTTCCAACCGTATCCGAAGAACTATGGAAAGCATTAGAAGCGATTTTAGCCGGGATCACCACATCAGCAGGAGCGACCCAAATTCGTACATCCTTTCAATAAGCAAGAAGACCTAATAGACTACGGTGGGACGCAAATGAAGTCAGTGACAGCATCATCAGCACCCAAACCTGGTTAAACACTTTGAAACGCCATATTACGAAATTCACTAGCATAAGTATACAATATTTGCTGAAGATCTTCCAGACCTGCTGTTCTGGCCCTTACCACCATCATGCCCATATCCAAGTGAAAGGCTAAAAGTGCTTGATCAGATTATGGTGCTGAAAAAAGCAACAATCGGGAGTACATTAATCCCGTGGAACCCAATGCGCAGCTTCATTCCCAAGGGGTTAGCTCGCCGGTTCTGAATGCGAGCGGGCCCACACGATTAAAGGATTCACCTTTGGGTACAGCAAAATATCTCAATACCGTTTCGTGCAATCATCTTTTGTCACCAGCGATAAACAGGCCAATCATGCTACAGCAGCGAAAGGTCTACTCGTGAACCACCCGACGTCAGAAACGTTACTGTGAGAAGCACTTTCTTCGAAGAGCTATGACTGACCACGCAACAGCATCCACCAGGCAAACATTTGATTTGTCGCATGAGACAGCTGACAGGCATTCCACGGTCGTTCGCAGTAAGTTTCATACACCGTCTGCAACGTTAATTTTGATATTGCTCCATCAGTTAAGGCGAATGACGCCTAAGCCAGATGCGGTAGCGTAGCGCGGCAGATCGGTATCACTACTACTGGACCGTCATACTTTAATAAACGCAATAGGGGCAAAGTCAACGAAACATTGTAGCCAAAAGGATAATTATTTAATCATAACCAATTTACATAGGCCTTCCGCGCCCGTAGCCACCACGGAAATGAACCTCACCATCCCCCATTGTTGCCCCTTCCTTTTCCGGAGCACCAAAAGCGGTGGCAGATGGCGCAACTGGACCGCGTCGGAAAGCTACGCGACCATCGGTGGGGCCCCGTTGAGCAGCGTGATCCATCCCGATCGCTCCTACCCGTGGATCTCTGGCAGGGGCCTTCATGGTAGCAGGAATGATGTCAGATGGAAGATGAAGAACCTTGAAATGCAATCATTAGGTCAACAATTCACATACTTCTCTGAGATATGTAATTCCATCATTGTTCAAGAACCAATAATAGGTCCTCCAGGCATACTGTTCACGCACGCAGCCCTTGGACTTCAGCGAGCGCATAGTCTTGATGACGTATAAATTCCTTACGTTGATTGTCGGATGAATGTAGCTGGGTCTTATGTCATTTCGTGCACACAGAACACCATCCTGAATGATTTTCTCATAGATGGAATTTCTCACGTCGATAGGCAGCAACATCTTTTAGCACAAGCCGGCCAAAGCGAGG